ATATATATATATATATAATAAAGAAATAATTTTTATTTATGAATTTAAATACCATTTGAAAATAAAATTCTTTAACAGAATAAATATACTTTGATATTCGAAAAATATTCGTGAATATTCATGAATATTTATCAAATACCAAGCATTCAAGTTCGAATTCAAAAAACTCCATACATGAATATTAGAGTCCGCATTCGAATTTAATAATTTTAAACAAATAAAAATACGAACATCTTAGCATTCGATTCGATCGTTTACCACCCTTACATTGGGGCCTATTCGTCATTAGTCTATAGGACAGGGGGTTTATCCCCAATTAATTAACCCAATAAAAACCCATCCTGGGTCAAGTTGTCGTGTAGACTCAATCTAAAACCTAACCCAACCCAGAAACTCCATAGCGTTGCAGTTCAAAATGATGCAGAGGGTTTAAGAATTAAAGCTAGGGTTTTAGTCGATAAAATTCATTCACACAAATAACTTCAAGCTTCAAAGGGTGAGCTATTTCGCTTCCTCCCCAAAATTCTCTATTACTACCTTCGCTTTCATTTGTTTTACTGTCATTGGAGACAGTGAACAATCAGGGATCAATTTTGAGTTTTTATGCTGACTGGATGTGATGTTTGATGACCCATTTGAGAATTTGCTCAAAATTTTAATCATCAGTGATCTTTTTAGATAATTACTTGTTGCAGTTACTTACAGCATCAATGCAAAATCCCTCCTTTAATGCTTCATCATATTGCAAAGGCAACAACAAGGTTGTTCTCTACTGGTACACCCATATCATCTCATTGCCCGAACCCTGAACTACTGCATTTTGACTCCTTATTAAGAGAATGCAAGTCATTATCGCAAGCCCGAAGCATTCACCAACAACTCTTAACAAGAGGGCTTCTCTCTTTACTGTCATTATCATTAGGAAAGGGCATTGCAGTCACCTATATAAATCTCGATGCTCCTACCGGTGCCCAATTCGTATTGGAGAGGATATCCCCTTCACCCGTGTACGGCTGGAATTTGCTCATTAGACACTATGTCAAACATGGTCATCTTAATCAAGCTCTTACCTTATGTCGTCGCATGAAAAGTTTGGGGACTAATCCCGACCATTTCACTTTCCCTTTTGTTCTCGAGGCGTGTGGGAAGTTGCCTTCGTATAGTCAAGGGACTGTAGTTCATGGTGTTGTTTGTAGTAGCGGGTTTGAATCCAATGTATTTGTGTGCAATGCATTGTTGGCTATGTATTCACGATGTTGTGCTCCTGAGGAAGCTGGCCATATGTTTGATGAAATTACTCAGAGAGGGATAGATGATATTGTGACATGGAATTCTATGGTGTCTGCTTATGTGAAGAGAGGTTGCCCTAAGCTTGCTTTGGAACTTTTTGGACAGATGACAAAAGGGTCGGTGAGTGATAAGGATGGATCATGGAGGTCAGACGTTATAAGCCTTGTGAATGTGCTTCCTGCTTGTGCTTCGTTGGGGGCTTTGTGTCAAGCTAGAGAGATTCATGGGCATGCTATTAGAAATGACCAGTCTTCAGATATTTTTGTTGGTAATGCGATTATTGATGTGTATGCAAAGTGTGGGATGATGGAGGATGCTGTCAAAGTTTTTGATCAAATGCAAGTTAAAGATGTGGTCTCTTGGAATGCAATGGTCACCGGGTATTCACAAAATGGTAACTTTGAAGATGCTCTAGATCTATTTATAAAGATGCGGGAAGAGAATATAGAGTTGAATGTTGTCACATGGAGTGCTGTAATTGCTGGATATGCTCAGCGAGGCCATGGCCATGAAGCACTCGGTGTCTTTCGAGAGATGCAATTGACAAGGGCAGAACCTAATGCTGTCACCATCATCTCTCTGTTGTCTGCTTGTGCTTCAGTTGGAGCACTTTCTCAAGGGAAGGAAACACACTGCCATGCTCTCAGGAGATGCTTAATGTCATGTGACGATGACGATGGTAATGGTGAAGATCTCATGGTTCAAAATGCACTTATTGACATGTACTCAAAATGCAAGAGTTTCGATGCAGCTAATTCAATATTTGACTCCATAGCTATGGCGGAGAGGAATGTTGTTACTTGGACTGTTATGATTGGTGGCTATGCTCAGCATGGAGATGCCAATCTTGCCCTACATCTCTTTTCACAGATGTTGCTCAATCCTATATCAGTTGCTCCTAATGCATTTACCATTTCTTGTGCACTGATGGCTTGTGCTCGACTCTCAGTTCTTCGTTTCGGTAAAGAGATTCATGCTTACGTGATTCGCAACCGATATGAATATCCAATGTTATTCGTGCCCAATTGCCTTATTGACATGTATTCCAAGTGTGGTGACATCGATGCAGCTAGACGTGTCTTTGATGGGATGCCTCAAAAAAATGATGTTTCTTGGACTTCCTTGATGACTGGATACGGAGTTCATGGCCATGGTGATGATGCTATTCTTGTTTTCGAGGCAATGCAAGAAGCTGGATTGGTCCCTGATGGGATCACCTTCCTCGTTGTGTTATATGCTTGTAGCCATTCAGGCATGGTAGATCTAGGACTTAAGTATTTCAACAACATGTACAAGGATTATGGGGTGGTCGCTGGTGCTGAACACTATGCTTGTGCAGTTGATTTGCTTGGTCGTGCTGGTCGTATGGATGAAGCTTGGGAGATGATAAAAAGCATGCCTATGAAGCCAACTGCTGTTGTTTGGGTTGCTTTGCTTAGTGCCTGTAGAACTCATGCCAAAGTGGAGCTTGGTGAATATGCTAGTGAAAAGCTATTGGAATTAGAGTCAGATAATGATGGATCATACACGCTGCTATCCAACATATACGCCAATGCTCAGAGATGGCGTGATGTCGCACAAGTTAGATGTTTAATGAAGAAGACAGGAATCAAAAAGAGGCCAGGGTGCAGCTGGATTCAAGGAAAGAAAGGCACTACTACTTTCTTTGTTGGAGATAGGAGTCATCCACAGTCAGAGCAGATATATGCTCTCTTGCGAACCTTGATTGAACGAATTAAAGCCCTTGGATATGTACCGCAGACTGACTATGCGTTGCATGATGTTGATGATGAGGAGAAAAGTTACCTTCTTTCTGAGCACAGTGAGAAACTTGCTCTTGCATTTGGCGTTCTCACTGTCTCTCCCGGGATGCCCATTCGCATTACAAAGAATCTGCGTGTCTGTGGTGACTGTCACAGTGCCATCACATTTATTTCTATGATTATCGAGCATGAAATTATACTGAGGGACTCTAGTCGGTTCCATCACTTCAAGAAGGGCTCATGCTCTTGTGGCGGCTACTGGTGATGATTCATTTCAAAAAATTTAGGAATTGTATGTTATATAGTAGATGCTACACAAGCAAGAAATAATTTTTTTTCCTAAGAATGAAAGATCATTTGTTGTTGTTGTTGTTGTCGCCTACAAGTTGATACTAATTTCCCCTACAGTGAAGAATGAAGCAAGTTCCACTGCACTTTGTCTGGGTTCAAGTTTGGTAACTCAATCTTTCCAGTATTGGTTTACAATTCGGTATTTGCCAGCATAAAGGAAAATGTTTTTTTTTTTGCAGGAAGTTCTAGAATATTTTCTTCAGGTAAAACATGAACCTATTCTGGTATGGTTTCATAAATATCCCCTTCGTAACCTGTGGAAGGACTCTCATATGTACCTGACTTTGCTGAAAGTTAAACCATATCGACAATGTTTTCTTGTCTAGAGAATTTGAACGATTGATAATTTTTTGGATGAAGATAAATTGGATAACCAACATCGTAATTGTGTACCCACTGGCTGCCTTCGATAATTTTATATAGTGCTATTTCTTGCTCATTGCTACCCTGTGCTTACATTCAGTATTGTACCGTAGGTTTAATTTGCCGTCTGATGACTGGTTATAACTTATAAGTGATCCAGTCTTTAAAAATTTTTTTTGAAGAGCTTTCTTTAGTTTGACTTGTTCTCCATGACCATACCCATTCTATTAGTATGCTATGTTTATAATGAGTTACTACTAGTGTTGTTAGTATCGCTGGTCTGTCGCTGAGCAATTCAATTTAAATTCTGCACATCTTAATACCAAGCAGATGGAATGTTAATGAAGGTACAAATAATGATCAAGAATTTTTATTGAAGGGATGATACTACTACTATTGCCAATGTCTATTATGCATCTTTACTATCTAATTTGATACTGTGTGTTTGTTGTTGTTGTTGTTGTTGTTGTTGAGGGGATGATACCAGTAAAATTTTGATGGTAATCCAGGTTAAGCTGAAACGTCTGTGCACTTAAAGAACGCTCTGCTTCTATGTGGCATTATTGTATTTAATTCAGGTTTCTCTGTGTTACTGGGAATATTGAACAATGTTTATTCGACCTTTATAAGCTGCTCAAGGCATGTGTGGTTCTCTGGGTGAAAATAATTGGTAACATAAGTTTTTACCACCTCAATTATCTGTCACCAGTTCCTGCTGTTGATCTCTTATGGGGATGGCCCAGTGCACGAGGCTCCCATCATTGTGGGCTATGAGGAGGGTCAGATGTACACAGCCTTAACCCCGCTTTGGGAAGAGGCTATTTTCGAGATTCGAACCCGTGACCTCCTGGTCACAAGGCAGCAACTTTTTACCTGTGAGTGGGGGCCACCCTTCCGTAACCACGTGATGAGGCGGATTTGTTTCCGCGTGGATTCGAAGCCGAAGCGAAGAGATACGAAGCTGAAGCCCATGAAGGCCCACAAATTGCTTTATATA